AAAATTTTTTTTTTTTTTTTTTTTTTTTTTTTTTTTTTTTTTGCTTTTGCTTAGTCTGGTTGATGAGATTCAACACGTCTTGATGGAAATTTCTGAGAAATTCAAGGAAAACCAATATTTTCAAGAAAATAAAAAAATGAAAACCATATTTTAAATAAAGAAATAAACGAATCTGTCTTCATCAAAGAAATTTCTTTGAAATTTCACTCAAGATGCTTTTGTCATTAGCTTTTAGACCTGAATATATATATTTTTTAATTATGAAAATTTAATATAAATCCAAATTTTCATGCTCTATTTATGTACTAAAAAGAAATATTTATTTAATTTTTATTTTGATCGCATTTTAAAGAAACGCTGCACATGTTACATTAAATTTATTAACATCATAATAATAATTATGCCATTATTTTTATAAAATATTATTAGCACCATTAATTAAAAAGAAATAAATAGATTGAGTAAACCACGCATCCATTTATCTTACCCCTTTCTTACTTTCAAATTTAATAATAATAAATAAACATATTATAAAATAATATATTGTCGTAAGAATTCAATCTTCCAATAATTGCCCTAACAAAATTACCAAAAAAATCATTTCACATTACTTCAGCATAAAATAGTATAATTTAATTTAAAAAATATTTCATTAATAAGTTTTTATATTTATATTTATTTGATCTCTATATTTTTACAAAATATTTAATTTTGTATTTTTTTGCTGACATATTCAAAAGTTTTTAAATAATTTATTTATTAAATTTATAAACTTTAAAAAATATCCAACAAAGAAAATCAATTATTAAACACGATTAAAAGTTTAAATTTATAAATAAAATAAATATGAATGTTCCTATTTTTTTTTCTTTCAAAATAAATCATTTTATTTAACAATATTTATTACATTATATTTATGTTAATTCTAAAGAAAATTATATATATGATTTAGAAAATTGTATAGGAATTAATTTTATTCAAATATTTTTTTAAAATAGAATTCATGGAGATTATGACGTCAAATTTACCATTTTTGAGATAATAAATACTTTTCATTTCTCTCTCTTTTTTTTTTTTAACTATCATGAAAACGCCCAACTCATCGTGTGCGATCCGTGTTTGGAGTGTGACAATACATTTTTAAAGTTTATAAATTATGAGTATGATAATATTTTAACGGGTCAAACATTTTTTAGCGTCAACTTAATTATAATAAATTAAGCATAACATAATCATATGTATTTTGCAACACTTATACCAATAGGTCGCTGTTAAGGAACAATAATAAAAATAAGCAACTCTCTTAATACACTATATATGTACACATTAAGTCACATTGCTTCACCAACGGTACCAACTTAGGTACACGAATGAGTATAAATTGTGCTTGTATGAGACGGCATATTTAAGTCATTGTCATTTTGTATTTGCGTAGAAGCAATTGGGAAGAACTATGTAGTGTGAGAATGTAAGAGATACAGTTATAAACACTTTGCGTATAGTGATTGGCTACCACCCATAGATGTACGGGAATTTCTTCTCTCCGAAATTTTTGTATCTTTGTTTAATGTGTGTGAGCGTGTGAGTGTGATCGATCTTGGCTTCCCCTACAACAATTGGGTATCATAGCATGTGTATGGCATATTCTTTAAATATCCTATTTTTAGTTTTTTTTTTTTTAAAAAAAATTAGGTTTTCATTTGTATAATTTAGTTATTATTTAGTTTAGTTGCTAATTTAAATTAATTAGTATTTAAACCAAATTAAAATACTCAAAATTAAAAAAAAAAAAAAAAACATTTAAGAAACGGTCATAAATTAAGAAGATTGAATATTGATATTTTTATTTTATGAAATTTTCTTGAATATTGATTATTTCTTTTTTTAAGCAAACAAATTGATTGTTTCAAATATAGGATTATATATAGGGTTTTCTTTAAAAAAAAATTATAATAATTAAGAATATTATTATTATTATTATGAGATAAAATATATATTTATGTCCCTAACTTTACCTTTATTTAATCCTTAAACTTTATAAACTGTATTAATTTATTCCTTTCGTTAGGTTCCATTTGGATGGACATCGCACGAGACCGAGTTAGCCAAACCTCTAAATTGATTTATATGGTTTTGTATAATTAATAGAAATTTTTTTAACAAAATACAATTATTCATCCAAATTTAAGAGATTTAGGACATTTATACATCTTTAAACGAGAAAGGGAGGAAAGAGTGAGTGGGTAGAGATTTCTCCTTTAAACGGGATCGGGGACGTAGATTATATTCTATACCTCCAAACTTACCTAATCAAATTAAAATTTTTAGAAATTATGTTGAAAGGATCCCGTAAAAACTTCTTTCGAGGAATGGGCCAGATCGAGTCATTTCTCGAGAACAATAGCTAAGGGTCCTGATACTACCACTTGGATTTGGAACCTTCATGCTCATGCTCACGATTTCGATAGCCATACCAGTGATTTGGAGGAGATCTCTAGAAAAGTATTTAGTGCCCATTTCGACCAACTCTCCATCATCTTTCTTTGGCTGAGTGAGATGTATTTCCACGGTGCTCGTTTTTCCAATTATGAAGCATGGCTAGGCGATCCTACTAACATTGGGCCAGGTGGTTTGCCAATAGTGGGCCAAGAAATATTGAATGGTGATGTAGGTGGGGTTTTCGAGGAATACAAATAACCTCTGATTTTTTCAGATGTGGCGAGCATCTGTAATAACTAATGTATTACAACTTTATTGTACTGCAATTGGTGTATTGGTCGTTGTTTTAGGTTTGGTTTATGAAATATTATTGATTTATTAAGATATTTTACCTTTTTTTTAATAGAATTATATTAAAAATATATCAATTATTCATTAAAAATATAAAATAATTATTAAAAATGGAAAAATAAAATAAAATTGAGAGTATTTATAACAACTTTTAACAATTTTTGGCATATATTTAATTAAAAATAAAATAAATAAAAATCCTACGTCTGAAAACCACGTTGTACTTGGAAAAAAAAGAAATCGTCATAAGAAAAAAAAATTTTATTTTCCACGTAATCACGAAATCTGATTTTTCCGGTATAAAAGGGGCGCTCATGGCTCTATTCGTTCAGTCTAATACAGTTGTTTACCGGTTTGACAATTCCTCTGCGCTTGAAATTCTCCCTTCTTCTAGAATATGGAACCCTCAGCCACCATCAATACTTCTCTCGACCTGAATTTCAATCCTCCGCCGTACACCGATGACGAATCTCCGGCCACTTCTAATCTTACTCCACTTAAATCAGAGGTCGGTTGTTGACAAATTTAATTAAACCTCCAATTTACTTTTCTAATCACAGCACTGAATACTTAAATCAGTTCTTCATCATCTTGCAGACTCCGGCCGTTCTTGCCGAAAAGTTGAATCGGATGAGTTCGGAGAATCAGAAGCTAAATCAGATGCTAGGACGCGTTGTTGAGAATTACAGTCTTCTGCAAAATCAGGTGATCCGTTTGATGTTCAAATCGAGGAAGCGAAAGGCAGGTGGCGATAGTTGCAACTTCAATCGGAGCGGATCTGATCAATATTGTGGCTGCTGTAGCGACGATGATTCGTGTTATAAGAGGCCTAGAGAAAGCAGTAAGCCGAAGGTCATGAGAGTTTTGGTTTCGACGCCAGTTTCCGATTCCAGCCTGGTACGTAACAAATGCAACACGCATTTTAGTTTCACGATTATTCGATCTAGTAAATTTTCGCATCCGTGTTTTCTGTTATGATTTTATTTGATTTGTTGTGAAGAAACTGAAATGGAATCATTAGTTGCGTCCGTTTCTTGCTTTTGTCAGAATAATTTCGTGATAGTGGAACTCTATGTAGTTTGACGTGAAAATTTATGCGGATTTGAAAAAGAGTATTAATTCTAAATTTGTAGGTTGTGAAGGATGGATATCAATGGAGGAAATATGGTCAAAAAGTCACTAAAGACAACCCCTCCCCTAGAGCTTACTATAAATGCTCCTTTGCTCCTAGCTGCCCGGTGAAAAGAAAGGTAATTTCCTCGAACTTTCTTCTGTCGCCTTATACCTTTCAATCAACCTATTTTTCTTCTCTCATTAATTTTTTCAACTCTTTTGCACTGTATTGTATTCCATACTATTTAGATTTCTTTCCATAAAATCCACAAAAATCGCTTCTCTAATACTTACCAACTAATAGATCGGCTAAGTTCATAGTTTGATAACAATATTTAGATTTCTTTCCATAAAATCCACAAAAATCGCTTCTCTAATACTTACCAACTAATAGATCGGCTAAGTTCATAGTTTGATAACAATATTGTTAAATGATTATATAACGAAAAATTCGATAAAAAATCAAAAGGTTATCAAACTCATCAGAACTTGTGAGGAGGAATTTGTTTTGGATAGTCATAATCTCCTTCTTTTTTTTTTTTTTTTCTTCTTCTTTGAATTCAACTTGAGTGTTTTTTTTGTTTTGTTTTGGGGGCAATATTATAGGTGCAAAGAAGTGTTGAAGATCCATCCTATTTAGTGGCTACTTACGAAGGAGAGCACAATCACCCGAAACCTAATTCTGGAATTGAGTATCAATTGGTTGGACCAATTCAGTTGGGTTCAAATCTAGATTCTTCTGTTTCATCGCCCTCCTCCTCAGTTGTCAAAGGTCCATCAATAATGCCTTCCGTTGTAACCTATGATTATTTATCCAAATCCCCATCAACGACGAACACTGTGAAAGCTTCAGTTCCAGAACTTGAAACACCCCCAGCTTCTTCATCAACCCAAACTATTCTAGTTCAACAAATGGCTTCCCTTTTGACCAGAGACCCAAACTTCACCAGAGCCCTTGCCACTGCCATTACTGGAACCATGGTAGATAAAGAAATCTGGCGATGATAATTATGATTTGTTGGCGTATAATCCTCAGCATACTATATTTAATGAACACTGAAATAAAAGGTTCAATTCTTCCCTCTTTTAGCCAGGATTGAAACTTGAGGTGGCTATGGTGAAAAATTGGCATTAGGTTTGATGAGGGGCTGTCTGAATCGAGTCGTAAAATCAAACCCTTCCTCTTCTCATCAACTTATTTTGTTAGGATCTTGATTTTTTTATGTATATGGACCCATTTTTGTTGATATTCCCACTACTAATATATCCTATTTCGTTTTATTTTATGTTTGATTGGATCCATACCTAAACCCCAAGTTTGCATCACCACGAATTCCATTCAATAGGATGTTAGGATTCATGATCCTCACGATAGTACGATAGGCTTTGCTTTTAATTTTCTCAAAAGACTTCATACCAACAGAGATAACGAATCATGATCCCCACGATAGTATGATAGGCTTTGCTTTTGGTTTTCACAAAAAAACTTCATATCAACAAAGATAATGTTCCTTGCTTATAAATTCATGATATTTCTCTTAATTAACTAAGCGTGGGACTCCTCCCCTAACAATTCTCACCGACGTATACAATTTATAATCAATATAACCATCAAATAAAGATTTAAATTAAATAAAAGACAATATGTATTGGAAAGGACAAAGAGGAAGAAAACTTGGGATTGAAAAGGTAATCCAAAGAGGCTTTTCATTACATTGAAAAGTGGACGAATATCAATTCCCAAAAAAAAAACAAAAAAAAGTGTTGAAGCTACTGGGCAGTGACCAGTGGGAACAGTGAGAAAAATAAAAAAATTAGTCAGGCGGGCGTCGGCCGGCGTGGGAAAGCGGCCACCGCGTAAGCACAGACCGACTCAGCGCCGGAAAAGTTGACAAAAGAAGAAACCCTAATTAAAAAAAGAGGTTAAAACAGCCGATTTGTGTTCATATAGACCACTGCATTGCAGGCGACTGAAAGTCACGGGCTAATAATCTGTGTCATAAAATAAATAAATAAATAAAAAGGAAGTCTTGGTCTTTGGATTTTTTATAAATTTATTTAATTGTTTCTTAATCCCCACGAAATAATGGTTGAGACCAGTCTTCATTTTATCCCCATTGTGTTGTGGAGAAAGTTCCTCAAGACTTACTGTTGAAGAAATCACAATTTGACCCCACAACCAACTTCATCTACTCTCTATAACCACTTTTCTCTTAATATTTATGTTTTTTTTTTTTTTTTTTTGAAAGATTTGAATATCTCACGTCTTATTAAATGTGTTTATATTAATAGATACAATAAATTTATGTTAGGTTTTTGAATTTATTGGATCTCAAACTTACGTGCTATGCGTTTTAACTTCATAATAATAGATTAAATTATAAATTTAGTTTATAAATTTTGAATTTTGAAAAACTATAATAAATTTTGATATTCTTGAAATTAGCCTATTTAATTAACAGAAAATTGAGGTTTCAAAATTCATAAACTAAATTTATAATAGGGGTGGGTTAAATGACGCGAGAATCCAACCCGCCTGAATTACTCGACCCAAACCATAAAAGTTTGGTTGGATTAAGCTTCTTGCGTTTGGATTAGGTTAACTATTTTTTTAAAAATATATTAGGGATAAATATGATTTTTAAATAAATAAATAAAAGAATAGATTAACAACCTAACCAAGAACTAGAGAGTTGGGTTAGGTTGAGTTATAAACTCAGTTGTAGTTGTTTGTATCACCGATCCAACCAATCTGAGAGTTGTTTTAGAAAATTTTTTAACCTAATCTAACGCAACTCATGCGCACCCCTAATTCGTAATCAAAATTCACGATGGTGTGAAACAAATAACTTAGTAAGGCATCTTGTAACTAACTCACGACCACTCCAAAAATAAAAAAAAAAAAGAAATTTCAAAATAAAATCCCCAACTTTGTCATGTTTGAAAGAAAAAAACTGGGGCCACGTGTACGCGACGTGGATTTATTATCTTTTAAATATTAAAATTCAATGGAAAACATTAATTCTCACAAGAATCAAAAACGAATTTTGATTGGTGCATGGATTTTTAATTTGGATTTGTTGGTATCTGATAACAAGTACATTTATTGTACGACTGACGTGGACAACCGTTGACGTGGAATTTTAGGTCCTAACCTTATTTTCCTCCTTTATTAGGGTTTTTCCCCCTAATTATTGCATTTTGTTTTTATTCCGTTACTATTTCTTAACTTATTTTATTCAATTAATTTTCCTTCTAATTATGATCCTGTTTAATTAATTTTATTATTTGGGTCGTTGCATCCATTAAAATTAATAAATACAATCATAGATAACGATAATATTTATGTGCTCGAGTTTTAGATATAATAATCAACGGGAAAACGGTTAAGTATAATATAAAATATGTTATATCTCATTTCACATCTAAGTGGATTGGGAGGATAGAAAAATATTATATTAATGTGATTGATAATGACTCCCATTTTGAAACAAAGCTTAAGCTCATAGTCTACTTTGACAATAAGCCACTTGACTTATTTGGTTGAATAATCAAATCCTTTTACATCAACTCTCCTACCCTTTCTTTGTCCTTTTATGTGGAAAAAACGTTTTCTTTTAAGACCTTTCACAAGATAATCAAGCGGTCTATTTGATGAGAAAGTGACGTAGAAATCGTGAAGGATACATGCATTAACGAGGCAATTGTGGAAATTGAGGTTTGTTAGCTTTGTAGAGCTCATCGAAACATTATGAGATCCCATATCGGTTTGAGAGGGTATAACAAAACATACCTTATAAAGGTGTAGAAACCTCTCCCTAATAGACGCGTTTTAAAACCGTGAGACTGATGGCGATACGTAATTGGTCAAAACGGACAATATTTGTTAACAGTTGAGCCTGAGTTGTTACACTGTTGCTCTCTTAAATAATGTTATTATAGTCGAGGAAGTAGTAATTTACCCTTGAAATAGACTCGATAATTCTTTAGAATTTACTTAAGACGAGAGCGTTTCAATAACGACCATGAACTGTCGTGTAACAAAAAGAGATAAGAGGGTCGAAATTGGGTAATGTGTCATTAGACCCAATATATTAATATAGAATAAACCCAAATTTTAATTGATAAGGCCCATAAATAAGTCAAGCTTTGATGGGCTAGGCCCAAATAAACGGGTCATGCGGCATTAGGCCCAAAATTGAAATATAAAATAAATCCAAATTTAATTGATCAGGCCCATAAGTAAGTCGAGATTTGATGGGCTAGGCCCAAATAAACGGGTCATGCGGTATTAGGCCCAAAATAGAAATTTAGAATAAACCCAAATAATTGATCAGGCCCATAAAATAAGTGGAGCTTTGATGGGTTAGGCCCAAATAAACCTAGCCCAGGCCCAAAGTTTAACTTTTGTTCTTCAAACTTTTAAATATGATTTTTTTTTTATATATATAAATTTGGTATTATATAAGTTTGTTAGTTTTAATTTTATTATTAAACAAAATCTTTTTATAAAAAAAATATATCAAAATAGAATTATATAAAGAGTGGAGTGATGCGTGAGAAAATACAGCCGCCATATCTAAATTCTAATTTCTAAATACAAAAATCTCTTCTTCTTCTTCCTCTTCCTGGTTTTGTACGGAATTCTTCAATGTCGGACGAAGAGCATCAATTCGAGTCGAAGGCCGACGCCGGAGCCTCCAAGACCTTCCCTCAGCAGGCCGGAACCATCCGCAAGAATGGTTACCTTGTCATCAAGGGCCGTCCCTGTAAGGTATCCCATTACAATCTTCTCTCTTTTTATTTTATGGAAGGAATCGATTCCTTCTTTTCTCTGAAATCTCAATTGCTATGGTTCCGGTTCTACTTTTTAGATAAAATGCTGGTTTCGATTATTGTTGGTTTAATGCCAAACTGTTGCTGCCGCGCTCCTAGATTTACGAATATGCATTGTGTAAATAAGAGAGTGGTGGAGTTTTTTAGGTTGAAATTAGATTTTAATCACTGTTCTTGCCTGTTTGTTTTCAGTAGTTTCCTGTATGATTTAGGGATTTAAAGATGTATCCATTAACCTTTTGTTTGAGTTGTCTTTTATTATATGGTTCAACGAATTAATAGTCGCTTTTCTAAGGATTTCTGAGTTCTACTGACTTCACTTTTATAAGCTTTTGCAATTAACATTCTCAAAAATCTACTACTGATTGGACAGTTCTTAAATAGATTTGATCCTAAATCTCCAACAATAAGGGTTCTAAATGTTATTTTGGTTCAGAGAGACTATCTGATCCTCTTTTTTTTGTTTACTATTGCTTTGTTATGGTGTTTTTACAATTGAATCGCTATGATTTATCATGCATCACTCCCATATTGCTGGATCTAAATGGGTCTCTTTCCATACATTGTTAGAGCATTACAAAAAACTCGTCTCCAATTCTACTTATTATTTGTTCATTCAAGAGGCAAGGTTTGAGAAGTTCTCTTCATGTGCTACCAAAGGAATTCCCAATTGGCATAACTGTGTAGGAGCTTTGATCTTTATATTACTCATTTTAATGATATTATGTTAAAGTAGGTAGTTGAGGTTTCTACGTCCAAGACTGGAAAGCATGGGCATGCTAAATGTCACTTTGTGGCAATTGATATATTCACCACCAAAAAACTTGAAGATATTGTCCCATCTTCCCACAACTGTGATGTGAGTATCCCCTTTGTCTTGTTTGCTTATTGTTTTCGTTTTGGTGTGTTTTTAAATGTCGGGTTTGCGTAGCTTTTCTGTCTCACATTCTCCCCATCCCCTCTATAGGTTCCTGAGGTTACTCGTACAGATTATCAGCTTATCGACATCTCTGAAGATGGATTTGTGAGTTTCTTCCTAATTATTTGTCTATTTGAGCACGAAAATTTAGGTTGACAAGGGAATTCATGACATTTTTATGTTGATTCCAACTTCGTGGACATCATAGGTCTTTAACTTAATACTGAATAGATACACGTCTTACTGAAAATATTATACTTAACAGAGATTTTCCTGTACAAATATATGATTAGTTCGTATCTTACATGAAGCAGTTTGATCTTTACTTGGGTTAACAATGGAATGGTTAACAAGAAAAAATAAATTGAAGAGTTGAAGGCATATGAACAAGTAACTAATGAAGACTCAGAGATTACCTTGCGAGGTTAAGTTGTTGATTGGTATCAATAGGTTGTCTGCTTTGTGCGGTATTCTGCAAGTCTGAAGCGTTAGTATTGTAGGTTACGACGTCGTGTTGGATATACTT